AATATCTACATGCAAATTTTAATCAGATAATTATGTAACACCTTGATAAGATCTGATACACAAGTAAAATTTGCATTTTTATTGGGGAACAAGGAAAGGTAATTTTGGATTGCTAGGGACAATATTGGAAGGCTGAGTCTAGATAGGTTTTACAATCTGAGGACTGCATGTGGTTGTAGGCATCTGGAAGGCAGGTCATGAAGAGAATTGAAAATAAGAAAAGATCAAGGAAAATACTGGGAAAGAGCCAAAAACAAACTCATGAATTCCAACCGATTTTGTTTTTCTTCTTAAGATGCTGTTCCAACTCTTTTTAAAATAATCATCTCCTTTATTGACAAGACCTTAAACAGATGCATACAATACAAAATGGATAAAAAATAAGTGGTTCTGGTTGAAATAGGAATGACAGACCCCAACACTCTAGTTGTAGGAGCTATGCCCGCAGCAATCATGGTTGCCTATGTTCAAAACCAATGGTTTTGAGAGGAAAACAAAGACTGGAAAATAAAGAGTACAATAGGCTGAAACTCAGAGAACTGGTATAAATATTCTGAACTCATGAAATGTAATGTGTTCTTAAAACATGTACTTTTGCAAGTGCTTAGATCTAACCTGAATTATACTGCAAGGCTGACAGGTAAATTGTACGGTGGCAGAAAGAATAGAGAGGAGGAAGTTGGATAAAGCAATAAACTGCACTTATACCCTTCCCCAGCACAAAATTTATTTGGTATTATGAACTAAATGTTTATGACCCCTCCAACTTCCTATGTTGAAATCTTAACTCCCAATGCATTGGCATTAGGAGATGGGACCCTTGAGAAGTAATTTGGTCATGAGAGTAGTGCCCTCACAAAAGGCATTAGTGCCCTGAGAAAAGGGACAATAAGAGCTCATTTGCACCTTCCTTTACGTGAGGATGCATCATGAAGACAGCCATCTATCTATAAACCAGAAAACAGGTTCTTACCAGACACCAAATCTGCCAGCACCTTGGCCTTGGACTTCCCAGCCTCCAAAACTGTGAGAAATAAATGTTTATTGTTTATAAACCACCAGTCTAGGGTATTCTTTCACAGCAGCAGCCTGAACTGACCAAGACTTTTAGGTTCTTTAAAAACAGATACAAGATACTAGGGGGGTCGGGGGGGGTGGTGGTGGTGAGAGTGATGAGAAACTTTGGGAAAAAGTTCTGAAAAATAAAAAGCTGAAAAAACAATAGCTAAAAATATCGACACAAGAAAGCTGTGGAGATGTACCATAAGTGTGTCAGGCTTTCAAAAACTCATATTCAGTACAATGGTGAGCAGGGATCAGCCGGAGTAGAGTCTCGGGTAATTAATTAGAAATAATTAATTGGAAATCAGAGCATCCAGGTTGCTTGATCAATTTACAGGTGTTCCATACAGAACTATTAGAAAGAGCAATGGGGAGGAAATAATCAAAGAAATAAGAGTATTTTTCTTTGCCAAAAAAATGAATCTCAAAGTTGAAAAGACGCACATACTAAAAGAAAATTTTAATAATTTAAAAATTGTTATTACAGTTTTTCCCTCAAACTATAAAATCACAATCTATTTGCTGTTATGAACCCAAAACAAACATCTACAAAGAAATATTAAAGTAACTATATCTACACCTCCCTCTCCCAATACTATCTCCTGTGTTAACTAGTGTTATTATGACGTATCCTTCTATGTTTTCTCTATGCTTGCTTAAACAAAACACATACATATCCACCTGGAGAGTGATTTTTCTAATATTATTTTACAAAAATAGGACCACACTATACCATACATTTCTGTAATTTTTATTTTTTTAGTGTGATCTGAACATACCTCTGGATCCATTGATAGGGCTATAAGGAAGATGTTCATTCTGCCTAAAGTATTATTTTCTGTTATTTTCATAAGGCTTTCTCAGTTTCCTCAGATCTCAATTTACCTCCATATCTATCTTTTTCTATCACATCACCCTGTTTTATTTTATTTTTAATATATAATTACTCTCTAAAATTATCTTACTTATTTGTTTCCTTGTTTATTTCCTATCCTCACTAGTATATGAGTCACAAAAGACATACTTTCCTTTAGAACTTGCTTTAATGTCAACACTTAGAACAGAAAATGAACATTGTAGGTATATGTTAAATGTTTCCTGAATGAATAATGAATAAATTCATTTCTTTTTTATGGTTGCATAGCATTTCTCAGCATGAGTGTACCTTAACATATTCAACCTGTCTCCTATTAATTGACAATATACTTTGCTGATTTATTTTTACCACTTATGTAATGCTATAATAAACTTTATTGTACATACTGCCTTATATATCTGTGGTTTTATTTGTTTGATAGATTCCCCAAACTGATATAACATGATTAAAGGATATACTTGTATGTGCATGTGTATGTGTGTGCATGTGCGTGTATGTGTATGTATACATATATATATATATATATATATAATTTTTTTTTCAATTTTGGTAGATACTACCAGATCTGCTCCAAAGGGGTCATAGTGCTTCATACTTCTGCCAGCATATATAAGAATTCCTATTTCTCTAGATTCTCATTAGCACAGGGCATTATATATTAAACACACCCACATACACACATTTTTGCCAATCCAATGGGTTTAAATTTGTAGTCTGTCACTGTTGTTTCTATTTTCATTTTCCTGACTACTAGCGACATTAAACATCTTTTCATATATTAATATCTATTTTCCATTGGCATCTCCCCCTCTGTGACTTGCTGATTTATATCACTGTCAAATTTTATTGTTTTTTTATGTACTTATTATCAATTTATTTGTTATTGCTGTCTATATTACAAATATTTTCTGTCAGTCTTATCTGTTCTTAGACTTTGTTTATGGTATATTTTTCCATGTAGAATGTTTAAATTTCTTTGTAATTAAATCTCTTAATCTTTTTCTGTAATGTTTTCTTTATTACTCCTGAAGGCCTCCCTACCACACAGTTATACAAATATTCTCTTAATTGTTTTGTGAATATTGTGTGTCTTTTATTATACATTTATATCTTTAATCCACCTAGAATTTATTTTTGTAAATGGCATAACAAAATGATCTAACTACTTTTATATAGATGGGTGGATGAAGTGAAATGCCACCTTTATTATATATTGTTTCCATTTATACATTTTGGAACTTTATTCAATCACATAAATCTATGTATTTATTCTTGTTTCCATTGGTTTCCTAGGTAGACAATTTTGATTACTGAAGTTTCACAGTATATTTTGAATCTTGTTGTCTGAGTCCTCCCTCATTAGTCATTTATTTTTTAAATGTGGGACAATTTTCTATTGAAAGTTTAAAATATATGTTTGACCTTTACAAATGGGTCAAATAGAACTGTTAAATTAATTTTATGTAACCATTGGTAGGTTGACATTTTAATGACACTGTGTTGACTTTGTGATTGGTTTTATACCATTTATTTCTCTTTCTCGTGATATGAACTTTAATTTGAATTCAGGCACTCACATGTCCCCTGTGCCTTCCATCAGTGGGAGAGATGCTACATTTCTCTGTCTCTAGGGCAGGAGCATGTGGCACACAGTGATCAGCAGCACATCCCTTCTCCTGGCCCATGTTTATAGACAGTCCTGCAACTCAAACCAGGCAGTGTGGCACCGGAGAAAGTACCTGTGGGCTTTGGAGAAGACATTTCCTTAAGTTCCATAAAGCAGCTCCCATATACGATCTGCTCTCCCTTTCTTCCTCAAGTCAGTGAGGAATTTTTGGCAATGCATAGAGATCCCCAAAGAAAGCAGGATGAAGACGAAACTGCCAAGTGGAAGGCAGAACAGACAAACAAAAAGATATATTGAACCACAGAATCCAACTCTAAACTTCCAGTTTGTAAGTCAATAAATCCCTTTCCCTTATGTTTCTTAAACTTCATCATGAATAAGAATCACCAAGAAAGCTTGTGAAAATGCAGATATGTGGGCCCTACCTTCTGAGATTCTGATTCAGTAATTCTGGGGTATACCCCAAGAGCCCGCATTTCTAACAAGAGCCCAGGTAACATTACTGCAGCGTGCTCACTGACCACAGTTTGAGAAGCTCTTCCCTGCATTGTTGCAGCCAGTTTGAGTTTCATTTTCTTTTATTTGCAACCAAATGCATCCTAACTGATACACTAGCCCAGGTGGTCAGCAAACTGTGGCTCGCGAGCCACATGCAGCTCTTTGGGTACGTACATGTGGCTCTGAAGTAAAATTGAAAATGAAAATAAAACTACATAGTTTCATTTATAAAATTTTTAAAGGATATTATTCACATAATGGTGATTTCATTTGTTTTATGGCTCTCCAATAATTTTTAAATTGTTGTGAGGGACAGGATTAGCTCTTTCATCTCAAAAGTTTGCCGACCCCTGCGCTAGCCGGAGTGGTTATTTGTTTATCTATTTTTAAGGTCATGTTCTTCTTTATCAGTAAAATTTGTTTGCTTATTTATTTATGAATATTTATACTTTTATTCATTTAGGTCCCTTTCTTTTCATGGTTAGTTCATTCTTTAGGTTAGTTGTAAGTTTTGTGAGCTAATGTAAGTACTACAAGTATTTATTTATTTATACATTTATTTGCCTATGTGTAAAATATATGTGTGCACATGTGCATAGTATATATCTATAGTTTTGGAACATTTATTAGTGTTCAGACAATTTACTAAAATGATTATCAGAGATGGTTTGTATTATAATCCCTGCCGAGAGCCGGCTCGACAGCCATGGCCCCTGGATGCGCAGGCCAGGAACCCACCGAACGGTCCCTGAGCAGGATTGATCGGCGCGAGGAAATGAGAAATGAAAGAATGGCATAGACATCAAAGTTGGGATTAGGAGGGTCACTGACTGTGGATGGCAATCAGGACAAATTTTATTAAAAGGCATAGTGCTTATATAGAGAGCAAGTTCCTCTTTTACCAGGAATAAATCTTATCTAAGCATAGGGGTTTTGTTAGGGGGGTTTTGGGGAAGGAGGAACCAATGTTCCTGACTTAGGAGTTTGGAGGTGAGATAATGTCTTGGCAACAGGTTACGTGATCACACAGCATAAACTAACAATATATTTTAAGTAAAGTGAAACTTAATGCAAATAGCAACTGTCAGCAAGTCCATGATGGAAAAGTCCCAAGAGTTCATAAGTTCATGGTAGGAAGTCTCAAAGTTCATAAGTCCATACACAGTAACATCTGAGGGTATGGTGGTTGTGGTTTAGAAGCTTCTGCTTTTCCAAAGCACAGGAGATGAGCTGGACATTGTTGGGTTACTGATTTTAGCAGTTTCCTTTTTGCTGTCAGCTAACAAACAGCTTTGCAGTCCTTTTCTCAGCACACAGAACTTGGGGGTCTTTAGCCACCTGCCATTCTCCACCTGCAGTCAACCTGGAGTCTCAGTACTCTGAGACAGCTCCCAACAAATCCCTTTGGTTTTCAAGACATAAAATCTGTTACATTCAGGATCCTGGCAGAAAATACTCAGCACACTCTACATTTCTATTGATAAGAGTTTAGTGGGCTATTTACAGGGGTGTTAGCTGGCTTGAAGGAACATGATTGAGATGTGAAAACATTAAAGTAAAAGATCAATATAAACGTTTTTCAAACATGCAGAGACTGATAAAGTTTAGCACCATGAACACTCTGAAAAAAATTGAGAATATGCATTAGAAAATCAAGTAACAGCCCTAAAAAAGAAAAATGTTGGAAAAAAATAGAGAATAATAATGTCATAAAAATGGATATTTGAATCTAAATAATTTGATACCATTTAAAATAATAGTCTCATAATATTACTCATAAAACTTCAAATTATCATCACATTTAGTAGTGACAAGTGAGGAGGATGAAGAAAGAAAGGAAGACAAGGTTCTCATCTTATGGTAGAAAATAATGGATATGGCTAAATCTGAATAACATCAGAAAAATGAGTTGAAATATGTATGTTAAGATTTTAAAGATATACATTAGATAGAGAGAAATAGGATTTACAACTTCATCCCACAAATAGAAAAAAAAATAACAAGTAATCTTGATGGATCAAATTAAAAGATAAGGAAAACACAGCAACAGAGCAGAAGAGTCCAGGTGATATAAAAAATAATATGGCAAGGAAAAATTCAGGCAACATAATTCACAAAAAATAAATGGATAAATTCTCTAAGTCATAGGTTTTATAAAAGGTAATTAATCGTATGGTTTGTTTTAAAACATAAGAATGTAGAAATTAATGTAGTAAACTAAAAATTAGTTCATGCTAATTAAGTACTAGGCAAACACTAACTCAAAGAAAGTAGTTATACCAATGTTGAGATTGGACAAAAGAAAATTCAAGGTAAAGGTCTTTGAAGGGGATAAAGAGATATATTGGATGCCAATAAAGTTATAAGCTTGTAAATGATATAACAGTCATGAAATTTGCCACACGGCTTTGGAAATTTTTAAAGTAAAAACTGGTGCAAACATCAGGGGAAATGGACCGTTTCACACTCATAATGGGAGAAATCAAGTAATTAGGGGACAAAAAATTGAGAAATATAAGAATCAAGGGTAGCAAACATTTTCTGCAAAGGGCCAGATAGCAAATGTTTTAGACTTGAAGGCCAGGTAGTCTCTGTCACACAACTCAACTCTGCTGTTGTAATGTGAAAGCAGCCAAAACTAATCCATAAATGAATGAGTGTAGCTGTTTTAATAAAACTTTATTTATAATTGTAGGAGAGCAAAAACAGTTTTGCCTCTACCCTTCTGAGTTCTTGCCTGAAACCCCCTTTAATAAAATACAGATTAATAAGAGAAAAACAAGCAGAAGTTTATTAGCATGTGTACCTCATACACATATATACATGGGAGATACCCAGGGGAAGTGAGTCATTTTCACAGGTGGCTGGAATTCAGGATTAAATGCTATCTTAATTGGGAAGGAAGAGATAGATATAGATAATGTAGGTGGGAGTAAGTTATTTTTAAGAAAGATGAATGGGTCCTTAGACAAATGGATGAGAGTTATGGTAATTTTTGACAAAGCTTGTGTGAGTGTGGTAGTCTCCTCTCCTGGGATAAAAGCAATCTTCCCTTGTTGATGAAACTTCTGGGGAAGGTATCTGTGGCAATTGAGTTTTTTAGAGGATTTATCTTTAGGCAGATAAGGGGAGTTTTGAGAAATCATCTCCCTGCATTTAATGTTTTTCAAGTGCCTACAGTTCAAAATAATCAATATATCAAATTGGTTATTTTAGGGTGTCATGTCCTGAACTCCTGCAGTCATTTTGTGGGGTGGCATGTTCTCCTTCCCTTCATAACTACAGGTAATTTGACAGACAAGATTTGACTTGTGACTGTAGTTTGCCCACCTCTGATAGAGGATATTTGGATAGCACAGCAAGGAAATTGATCTATAAATATGTAAGCACCCAGTGAAGACATGACACTCATAGGATACAATTAGAAAGCAACTACTTCCATCCCAAACCACCACTCTGTGGGGCTAGTCTTTCCCTTTCCTGGAGTAAAATCTATCATTTTTCTGATCTCTCTCTCTGAAACTCAAAGTTATTGAGTCACATTGAATCATAATGCACACTTAATTCAGTAACTAAATATCCAGTCCTATACGATAGTTGAAACTTGGAGCTTGGTTGAATGTTAGAGCTTCTGCCTCACCTTCAGTTGTCTCCAGTCATGATGGGAAGCCTGAAATGGAAAAGCAGAGAGCATGGTAGGTTTCTGTAGTATTTTCCTAGCTTGAAATTCTATTCGTTTCCCCCTCCTATTCACTGGTTTCCTCCAATGCAGACACAGGGAACTGAGGGGAAACTAAGGGAAGAAAAAGCTTTCTTGATTGGTATTCATATAATTCTGGCCATGGGAGATGTTAAATCTTACTCTTTCTTTCATGGATATTATGTGGGTTTTTGAAAGACAACCCATTACTGGTTCCCTTGATTTTATTAAAAGCATATTCTCATCGGTGACTTCTGATTCAACCTGGGGTCCTGTTATGCCTCTTGCCTCTTCCCACAGACGTCGCCTCGCCCAAGCCCCAGGTCTTTTCCTGTGATTTATACCTGGTTACTGGGCTTAAAGAGTATGAGTTCACCAATTTTTATGCTAAATTCCAATCATAGCCACAGTATTTGTCTGAACCAATAAATGAAGATTGTTTAATGTATTTATAAAATTTTTGGTAACGTGGCTGCACATAACAGAATGAACATATGTGTGCTAATAATATCTAGGATTAACACATTAGGATTAGTTAGTTTACATGAGGTCAGTCCATCATAGCAAGGGTCTGAACAGAAACCACACTCCTAGGGGAACTAATCACAGAAAAGGAGGGCCCTGGTTGCTCCTTTGCACTCCCAACACTTGAATAACCTGGCCAGACAAATATAAATCTCATTTTGACTGATGAGTCATTGTACTGGATCCAATCCACAGTGATGGCCTAGACTGCTGGGGAAAGAAAACACCCCTTTAGAGGTTAAAGGGCTTTTACCACTACCCCAAAGTAATATGCATGTGTTATATGCATTAATAGAAATAGTTCATCTGAATTGACTGAATAATATTACATCATGTAATTGTGGGTTTATAATCCCATAGGAAAAGTAAGTAGCTTGGAAAGGTTACCTTTTATCAGTTTTCATATACACAACAGTCGGTGGAGTGAATGTCATGGCTCAGTGTCAGTTTTAGACTACCCCCCACCAATCTAGCTTTGACAATGAGACATGCACATCGTTGGCCCTCTGTCAGGGAAAACGCTATTACCATCCACTATAGCTCTCTACTCTTATGACAAAAGGAGCTTCACACAACTTGCATCCTTTAAATTTCTCAGGAGTGTGTCTGATATTCTAGGGGACACATAGCAAGGGTGGTCTCATAAAGTCTCTTCTACCCAGGGCTTCAGGTAAATTTGAAGCATTCCTTATCCTTTCACAGAGGGGTGAGTGGTGCTCATCATCCATCAACAATTCTCTCCAGAAAAAGCCCCTCTCTCTTTATTAACCTACCTCTGGCTGAAGTCTGAGGTTGCAGCTTACTTGAGTTGGAGGCTGCAAAGCTGATTTCAGCTCTGTCTTCATAAAACTTACTTAACTTGAGAAAGCCCCTCTCAGTACAATGTGAGAGTACTTGCCGCTGAGTTTTCATGACCTCAGCCAAATCTGAGGTAGAAAAAGCTCCAATATAACATTTGTCACATGAAAATTTTTCAGTAGTCATTAAAATTTTACTTAAGTAGACTATGCAATCTTTTACACAAGGAAACTCCTAAGGAAGAGCCCAAATCAGATATCACTAAGGCTATATTCCAGGCAATAAACTGAAAATAAAGGCAAATACTTATTTAGATATTAGAAAGACTTCTGTAAGTAACTGTTGGGTTAATCTGGGAGATCAACGCTAAAATTAAATTATAATCAGAAACGAGCAGTGAGAACACTACCTGGCTCATCATTTGACAATGATTGAAACACTACTCAGAGGAAAATACATAGTCCTTAAGTCATTTATTAAAAAAAATAGGACTAAAAATAAATGTAATTACACTCTGGGAAAGAAAGTGAAGGACAGGTACGGTTGTAGCAATGTGCTGTCAGGTCACACCTGCACACAGTTTGGTTGTCATAGTAACAGCTGAGAAGAAAAGGTGAACTGAGAATATGTGAGATTGGATACAAAAGGACTTGAAGCATTATATCTCATTAATCAAGATTACAAGGAAACATTGATCTTCTTAAACATCTGATGGGATAAAATGCCAAGAGAATCATTAAATTTGGTCAGTATTTTCCTCCATTCCCTATTTGAAGCCATCCTATGGTTTAAAGTAAAACAAAATAGCTGGAACATAGAAAAGCAAGCTTGCAATTATATAAAATGGAATTAAATTGGTTTGAGTAAAGGGCCAAACAGATTGCAGTTAAATGAAATGTTGGTATCTAAAGTTAAGTAATTCCATCCTAATTCACTCTGTTGTAATAAAACACTTAAAGCATACACATTATGGATATAAGGTCACCCACTGTTCTGAGTCTCCCAAAAAGAAGCTCATAGCTAAGTTATAAATTAATTTAAAAGGTTTTATAAAATTGTAAATGTTTTACTGAGCCTTTAGAAATGCTTCCATGGGAAATTACTAAGAATGCAATAAAAATATTTTTAACAGGCTTAAACTGGCAATTTAAACTTTTCTAACGTGAAAGATTGTTATTTTTTAAAAATCAGTTCAGCATCAGGGTTTTTTTAAGATTTGAATCTATTTAAATAACTAAAATAATTTCTCAGAATATTTTTTTTCTTCTATTTTACTCTTAGTAGAAATTTTCAAATAATTTAACCAACATATGCTCTGTTGAGATTAAGGTAAAGCTGATTTTTGAGTTTTTAAAAGATGTTGAGGTCTACCTTATGTTGATCTGAATTGTGTCTGATTCACAAGTTTACAATATCCAGACTCTATTCAGTTTTAACTCTGTATGATTTTTTTCTAAATACAACATTGATTATTATAACAATGCAATGTAGAGAAATGAGTCTGATCCTGCCACAGAATCAAAATATAAATATATTTTAGAATTAGAAATAAATGTAATAAATAATTTAATTAATCAATAATAAATGGAGTAGTTTGGAGTCCTTCCCTTTTTTCCCTCACTCCAGAAGTGCAAGGGAGGGAGAAATAAGTTCAGAAAGACCCCTACAATGCAAAAGACTTGGAATGAATCTTGAATGACATGGTGGTGTTTACCAGGTGGGCAATGAGACTATTGTGCACATGTGACCCTTCTCCCTTGCTCCATCCCCTCAAATTATTCAACTTTCTTTTTAGAGAGGATTAAGGTAATGGAAACTGAACAACTATGTATTATGTGGAGTAAATTACTTTGGGCACGTCTTTTGACCTCCCAGATATGACCCTTATGTTAAGGATACCATCACATGAGAAAGTAGTTTTCACCAGAGTGTGTTAAATGTTGGTTCATGCAGACAGGTTCTGCTGGCATTGTATTTGTAATTGTACAGTTGTTTACTCATTACTGTAATTGTTATATACCACATCTGTTGAAACTAGTGGTCAATTCACAATGCTTTTAAACTTGTCAGGAGATAACATCACACTAATAACCATTTTGAAAGTAATTACAGGAGAGGAAGGATGGATAGAAACTAGAAAAGTGATAATAATATATTAAAAGGTTTCACAAAGCAAAAGGATAATATTTATTTGAAAATATAATGAAATACCAACTATCCACCCAAAAGTGGGCCCTGAATAATTTATCATATTAAAGGTTATTCCTCTAAATTTACCACACACTCTTTATTTTTAAAGGATGCATAATTAAAATTTTCATATGGCTAAAGAAATGTCTTTTAATGGCCACAGTGAAGTCTATTAAAAGACGTATGCACACTTTTTATGCTGTGGCATTACCCACATTTACCCTTACAACTTTCCTTCTTGAGCATAACTTTGGTCAATCTGGGTTTGTTTTGATCTTTTCTTGCTAAAATCTGCAACTTTCTCTCTCTTTTAAAAAATAAGCTGACATCAAAGCATTTTTGCTCATATTGGAAACCCTCATCAACTGCTGTTTGTTTCTCTTTGGTAACATCACCAATCCCCCTGGACCTAGGCAACCTTAGCAGGATATATTCCTTTCCCATGTTCTCCTATTCTATTTCCTGCAGCGTCTGATGTAAAACAGATTTCAAAGTTCATAATAGAACAGAGGTCAACATGAAAGACTCTAGGATCCTGGCCTTTGGTTTTGCTTCTGGTCTTTATTATTACAACAAATAGTTAGTTGAACTTTTATTTTCCATGCCATATAAAAACATTGGAATGACAGCTCTTTCTTTTTAATCATAGATCAGGATTTCCAAAAGAGTCTCAAATATCTAACAACAGGTATAAGGGGGGAAAATAACAGTAACACAACATTATCAAAATGAACTGTAACATTCTTAACATTTTTTAAATCTGGAAAACAATAAGCATGCCATCTAAGTCCATGTTCTTCTGTTTCTCTCCTGTTTTGATCCAGAGTGTGTTTTCAAACAGTCTAAGGCTCATCCCTCCACCAGTTTTGTGGATTGGATTCTATTCTCTGCTGCTTCACTTGGGAACATACACTGAACATTTTCTCCTTTTCTCTTCTATATAGTCAAATTAGATCCTTTCCAGCTTTCAAGAATGCCCTGATTTCATCCACTTCAAAATAAAACTAGCTTTGTCCCATTCCCAAATCACATACAATTTCTGCCTAACTCTCCTCTCTCATACACAACCAGACTTCTCCAGTGGGGGACCTATTCTACACACTTTGATGCCTCATCTTCCTCTCCCTACTTAACCTGCTCCAGTCTACTTCTACCAAAATACTTTTTTAAAGTCACCAGAATCCAAAGGCCAATTATCAATGTTGCTCTTAGCAGCAAACTAAGAATGACCGACCTTTCTTCTTGAAATACTCTTATTCTGGGCATCAAAATCCTACATGAGGGGACAAAAAATTTACTAATTTTATAGCCTCCCTGCAGATCTCCCACTCTCCTGAGTCTTTCCTCTCCACTCCCATGGTCCTCTCCCCAACTTGAGAAATTTGAAGCTCTTCTACTATACCATTCTTTGGGATTTTGAGATGCATAATCTGTAGAAAGAGGAGAAGAACAATAGAAGGACTAAAAGATCAAGATTATATTATGGAGGAGAGGAGAGGTATTTATTTAATAAAATATTGGGTGGGCAGACAAGAATGAGAGGGAAAAAGTCAAATACATTCTTTGTGAACAAAATTGTTTTATCCTTTATATCAAGCTTTTTTATTCTGAGTCATATGGAAAACCATTGAAATATTTTAAGAAAGAGATGTTAGAACAGGTGGAATCTGATGGAGATGAAGCAAGATTAGAAATAGATTTTATTTAATATTTAATAATTAACTGGATATTTGGATATCTTTAAAGTTGTTGACATACTTGCAAATAAGGGATATAGATATTTTGAAAATATTTTTGGAGACTTGACTTTCTCTTCAGATAAAGTTATCCATTCCTAAATCAACATGGATTGGCTTGGGCGATGTCAGAAGCATGGTGCCATGAGAGGTCCCCCCTGATCCCTCTCCCTGAAATTACAACAAGTTAAACAGCTATAATTCAACAAAGCGTTCCCTGCTCAATACACAAACACATCTGAGAGATTTGTGCATCAACACATCTGAAAGTGGATGAATTGAAGAGAACAGGGAGGAGGGAAGGGGGAAGAAGGAAACTGCCACGGAGGCAACTGGAGCTCAATGGGGATCTCCAGAGAGAGGAGGAATCAGCTGTAGGTGTACTCTCAGTAGCTCAGAACATTCCTGCCTGACTGGACAGCACACACTGTAGCCAAACCCAGTGACTAGGGCAGAGACAGAACACAGAAGTGTAGCAGCTGTGGTCTAGCAGCTGCCATTGTCAGACAGAAAACAAATCCATGGAGCCTGGCCACCTCCTCCACCTTCCCAGAGCTTGCCTCCCCAAACTCTACCAGAGCTAGCAGTGGGCCCCACAAGAAACTGTACCAATGGGCATCAGATTACAAAGTAGAATATATACAGCCCTGAGACCTGGAGAGACAGTTCCAGAGCAGGAGATGCACACTGTGGCTAATCCCAGTGACAAGGTTGGAGATCCAGAGGTGAGGCAGCTAAGATCTGGCAGTTGCCGTTACTGGGAGGAGAACAAAGCCACAAACACACCAGTGGCATCTCCCACAAAACCCCACCCCCACCTGTTGCTGTTGATATCAGTGGGGGCACCTGGGGCAACTTGGTCAGTCCAGCACTGCATCTAGCTGCAGGAGATGTGCCAAGTTTTCAGGGTCTCAGAACCCCATCACCCACCACATTCTCCCATGAGAGCCGTATACTGAGACCAAGGCAACCTGGTCACAGAGAGCAGGCCCACCTCCCTAGGGATTAAACACATTTTTCAATGCCCAGCACAGATACCAGAAGCAGGAGCAGTACAAGACAAAATAAAAATTTGTGCTCCAGTGCCACTTACTAGAAAACAAAACAACTCTTCTGATCAACCTGCTGCACAATTCACTCCCATAAATGCCTAAGCAAAGAAATAATCCATCTAATACAATGAACAACCAAGGTAACTAGGC